CTTACTGAGCAACATTTGGGTACTAGACACATGTTAGGGTCTTGCATATGTTATTTCACTTGATTCTTGAAACATCCCTCTAAAGTAGACGTTCAATTTACAAACTAAAAAAAAAAAAATAGTTCAGAAAGTTTAAATAATGTGCCCAAATTTACCCATGGTCAGTGGAACAGTCAAGTTCATGGACTCTCTTTGGTATGCTGAGAGGTCTTGTCTTCCCTGCCTCCTGTCTCTCTTCAGTGTAGCTCTTTCAGCAGGCTGTGCTAGAGATTTCCTTTTAAAATAAAAATCTGCTTAAAGGCCTTTGATGGCTCTTCAATACCCACTCAAGGTAAATAGTTCAATACCCACTCAAGGTAAACAGTCCAAGCTCTTTAGCTTAATAATCAAGGCCCTTGACAATCTGGCTCCAATCAAATATTGCAGGCTCACTTCCGGCTTCTTTTCCGAAGCATCCTAGGTTTTCCATGAGGATGCCTTTTTGTCTTGTTCATGCTGTACTTGCTGCCTATGTGCCCTTCCCCTCCTTCTCTGCCTAAAAAAAAAATCCTAGTTTTCCTTTAAGGTCCACCCAAATGTCACCTTCTTGGTGAAGTCTTCCCCAGTGTCTCTGGGTTCAATGAATCCTCCTCTGCCCTCTCCATATTACAGAGGACATTGTAAAGTCCTCTGTAGTAGCCCCTTTTGCATTGTCATCGTCCTTCATAGACTAAGATCCTTAAAGACAAAGATTGTACTTTACGTTTATTTGTATTCCCAGTTCCTGGCACATAATAGGAGTTCCATAGATATATGTGGAACAGAATTGAGGCCTAATCCTTTTCCACATGTTAGCCCTTCAATTATTTTAAGACCCTTCTAAGGCCTTGCCCTGCCCCACTCTACTCCTATTAATAGTTATTTCTTCTGCAGGCTAAATGTTCCCAACTCCTTTCAGCTGCTCCTTATAAGGTCTGATTTCCAGATTCCTTATCTGGTCATTTGCTTCTGTGTGATAATTTGTCAACATCCCTCTTTTAAAATATAATGCCTAGGATAAACTTAATAGCCCAAAGTCTGGCCATAGCAGAACAAAGTGAGGGGATTCCAATCTGTGATTCCAATCTATGACGTTTTCTTAGCCATTACTGTGTTCTAGGAAGCTCTGCCTACTCTATTTTCTTTCACTCTTCAATAATCTGGTGAGGTGGGTGTCATTTCTCCCATTTTACAGATGAGAACATAAGCCATCTGGTAAGGCACCTTGAGAATAAGTTAAAGTCACAATCCCAGAGCACAAAGGTAACTCGTGATCAACTGATACCTTTAGATCATTCTTACATCCACTGCTGTAAAGTTATTATTTTTTCCAGTTACCAGCCAGCTAGTGACAGGCTTAAGGGCAACTGAGGACAAAAAGAATCAGTACCTTTAGAAGGGTGTGAAACCAAAGCGCAGAGAAAAGGCAGGTTGGATTAATGACCAACTTCCTAACAATAACAGCCTTTATCTAGGAGCTCAAACAGAGACAGGAATGTCTTAACCACACAGCTTCCTGGAACTATTTTTACTTTGTATTTTACAAGATGAGCAACAGCAGAAGTGTCTTAGATAAACAACAAGGTTTGGGCTCAGCACATGTCTGAATCTGAACAGCCAGTGGGGCCCTGTGGTCACAAGGCAGATAATAAGGAGGCTGCCTCTTTGGTCTGTGGCTTGGGTCTGAAAGGGTCCTACTGTGCACATTCATTCTATAAATATAGACTGATCACCAACTGTGTTCCAGGCATGGTGCGAGGTGCTGTGGATGTAATGAAGAAGAAAGACAGAGTTTCAATCTGTGGAGCTTACAGTCAGGTGAAAGATAAGCATAAATGAAAATGATATCCACAGATCCTAGTAAATGCAATGATGAATGAAGGTGCCAGGCTACAAGGAGAGCAAAAAGAGGGGCATTTAATTTATCCTGGGTGAGGATGGAAGAGAAGGTATCAGAGGAAGTTCCTGGGGAAGGTAGTCTTAATTGATGTGTAGGACTTAACATGCTGAAGGCTCTTATGTATTTCAATGCATCCCCCCCACACCCCACAACACACATACTTTATTTAAGCATCAGAAACCATCTTTCCCATTTCCTTCACTATCTCTTCCACTGGGTCATCGACAACATGATAACAAAAAACAAAACAAAAACTACTGTTTCCTCAACCGTCAGTGCCAGAATAATCACTCCTTTTTGCTGTACTGTAATGTAGAAAAGAGCAGACCTGGGGTTTCCTAGCATACCTCCTTTAAAAAAAAAAAAATACATCCTGATTAACTTGCCTATTTCTTCCCTCTCCATTGCCTCTGTATTTCTTGGCTTCCCCACACCTGTGACCGAAAGGTCACAGGGTCTGTCACAGCCCAATTCCATTCTCCAGTTGCCTCTTGGTTTTTAACCCCCCTTTTTAAAATCTAAACATTAAACAACTAATAACACCCATGTGTAATTAGCTGTTTAATTGAACAGCACAGAACTGTTAATACGTTGTGCTGTGCCCTGGGATATTAAGTGGAATAAAAGCAAAGTACTATATTCAAGGAAACTACAGTCTAACTTGAAATACTACAATGGGATACATTTCACACAGAGATTTTTACTAAGTGACAGTGGAGAGGAGGGAGAAATGAGTTCTTCCTGAGAAGTGTCAGAGAAGTTCTGAGCTGGATCTAAAAAAGAAGCAGGAGGCCAGGTGTGGTGGCTCATGCCTGTAATCCCAGCACTTTGGGAGGCCAAGGAGGGTGGATCACGAGGTCAGCAGATTGAGACCATCCTGGCTAACATGGTGAAACCCCGTCTCTACTAAAAATACAAAAAATTAGCCGGGCATGGTGGCAGGCACCTGCAGTCCCAGCTACTTGGGAGGCTGAGGCAGGAGAATGGCGTGAACCCAGGAGGCGGAGCTTACAGTGAGCTGAGATCGTGCCACTGCACTCCAGCCTGGAAGACAGAGCGAGACTCCATCTCAAGAAAAAAAAAAAAAAAAGCAGCAGGAATCCAAATGACAATATGCATACTATTTATTTATTTATTTTTAGCAGATGTGGGAATATCACCCTCATGCCAAGACTTATCTAAGGCTACAGGTGTGAATAAGGTTCCTGATCTCAAGAAGCTTTCAGCCTAGAAAAGAGGTTTAGAAATATACCCCAATAATGGCAACATATATTGTGCCATGGACAGAGTTACAGAACAAACTGCTAGGGGAGTTCATAGAGAAAATGTTTAAGAGAACATTTCTCACTGGATGTAGTAGGCAGAATTCTAAGGTAGCCTCCTCGATTAACCTCCATGTACACCTTCTGCATAGTCCCTGGGACAGAGGCTATGATGAATTTTACTCCTGTGATTAGGGTACGTGATGTGGCACAGGTGACCTTAAAGTAGGAAGATTAGCTAGGTGGGTCTGATCTAATTACAAGTCTTTTAAAAGCTCACCGTGTTCTCTGACTGGTTGAAGAAGGGAAATCAGAGATATTTAATGAATGAGAGGATTGACATGAGGTTCTCTGTTGAGATAAAAGGGACCATGTGGCAAGGACCTGAGAGTGGTCTCCAACAGAGATCTGGCAAAAGAATGTAGCTGTGGGATCCTAGTCCTACAGGGACATGAATTCTGCCAAGAGCCTGAAGGAGCCTGGGGCAGACCTTTCCCTCGCAGAGCCTCTAGACATCTTGATTTCAGCCTATGACACCACGAGCAGAAAACCCAGCCACACCATGCCAGTTTTCTGACCTACACAACTGTGAGTAAATCAATGGGTGTTGCTTTAAGCTGCAAAATTTGGGCTAATTTGTTACGCAGGAATAGAAAACTGGTAGGAGCACTTACAACACTGTGCTCTCATTAGCTATTGACATACTAGTTTCCCCAACTATGGGCTCCTTAGATTTAGGCTCTAATTATCCTTGTAACCTCAGGGCTCTTCATGAGACAGGTATTCCCCAAAACGCCATGGAATAAAAGTTTAAATTAGACACAGGGATGCAGATCGGAACCTGGATAGATTCTGACCATTTCCATTTCTCAAGAATGGGCAGACGGATACTGAGACCAACACCAGGATAAAAGGAGGCAGCCCCTCTTCAGTCCAATGCTCTAAGACCTATTCCAGAGGCAAGGCAAGTAACCCAGGCTCAGCTGTCCCGTCTGCTGCTCCAGCCTTGCTGAGGTGGACTTCCCTCCAAGGAGCATTGTTCACAGAAGGATCATTAACAAGACATTCCTGTGTGACCTGAAGATTGCCATGCTCTAAATGATGCCACACCCACTCCACATCCAGCTCAGCAGAGGTTTCGGGATTTATATTGCACTGTATTTTCAATAGCCAAAATAGAAGTCAAGACTTCGGTTTCCTAAGCTGCTAAAATGATGTGGTGGTTAAACCAATTGTGTGCCAGGCGCAGTGGTTCATGCCTGTAGTTCCAGCGCTTTGGGAGGCTGAGGCAGGAGGATCACTTGAGCCCAGTAATGTGAGGTTACAGTGAGCTACAATGGCGCCACTGCACTCCGACCTGGGGGACAAAGCGAGGCTCCACCTCTAATAAAACAAAAATAGAATTGTGTAGCCAACATTTTTGGTGGGCCTGAAAGAATGAGCCGGTGCACTCAGTGCGTACCTGTTGAAGGGATGACCGCAGGGACGACTGAGGACGCTGACACTCACTAGGGCATCCAAGCGCTAAATCGACTCTCACCTACCCTCTCGGGGCAGTGCTATCCTGTTGGAGAAGAGGCCCCTGGGCGGCGGTGCGAAGTAACTCGCCCAAGGTCACCACACGGCCAGCCACTAGCCGGGCGGGGGTCGCCAGAGGTGAGGGCCACGTCAGTCGGTCTTGGGGGCCGACCGGTGGCTCCTCCACCAGCCACACGCGGCCTCAGAGTGGGCAACTGGCAGCCCAGGGATTCGAACCCAAGTCCTGGTCCTCGCCCTCGCGCCCTCTCAGGCCTCAGTTTACCCATCTACAAGACACGTACCCGAGAGCTGGCCCGGGCGCCAGCGGGGCCCCCGGACCGGGGTCTGCAGGCCGGCGGGGTAGGACCGTGCCAGGTCCCTGCGCGCCCTCCCTCCTCCAGCGCGCCGCCCCGCCCCCCGCGCGAGCCCAACGGCCGAGGCGCGCGCCACCTCGCGGCAGGAGGCGCGGGGGAGGGGCCGGAGCCCCCGCCCCGCCCCCCGCCTCAGCAGCCGTCGCCAGCTCGGTGGAGCCCCCCGCCGCCCGCCCGCCGCTCTCCGGAGCCGCCCGCCCGCCCCCTTCCCGCGTCCCCGCTCCCTCCCTGCGTAGCGGAAACATGGCGGCGGGAAGGGAGTGAGCCGCCCCGCGCCCCCGCCGCGCCCGCAGGTAAGCGCCTCGCGGCCGCCTCCGCCCGCATAAGAGCTTGCGCCCTGAGGGGCCGCCTGGGGCCAGAGGGCGGTGGCGGGACCCGCGCGGCCGCTGCGTCCGCCCCGCCGGGCCGGGTTAGCCTGTCCGTCTGTCTGGCCGGCCTGCCAGTCTGTGGTCCGCGCGGGGCCGGGCCCTCTCTCGGCCGTGTCAGCCGGGCCTCGAGCCCGGAGGCCGGTTCTGCATCTGCGGTCGGGCGGGCGGGGCCCACGGTCCGGTCGCGGCCCTGACGCGGCTGGGACGGCCTGGGGGCCCCGGCACAGGAAACCCAAGGCCGGGGGCGCTTTGGAGGGTCGGCGTCAGGGTGGTCAGTGTGGGTCGCCGTGTCCTGGCCGGCGGTTCCGGGTGGGCCGGGGCAGGCTGGCTGGGGGCCGAGGGCCGGGCGGCGGCGCGACCCCGTCTGCGCTGGTCAGTCGGACACCTCCGGCGCCAGAGGTGGGAATGCCTGTGCTTCTGGCCGGCCGGGTCGCGTTCGGGGCAGGCAGGGACAGAGGTCGGCGGGGCGGCGTGGCCCCCACCGAGAGCAGGGGCGCCTAGGGCCCGGAGCTGTCAGCAGCGTCCTGGGGGCTGGGCCCCGGCCGGCCGACTCAGGTGTGCCGCCTGCCCCGGTGCCCCGCCGGAAACGGGCAGGGAGAGCGGTCCCGCACCGAAGTGAGCCAGCGGCCCAGGGGTCCAGACACGTGGGCACAGCTGTGGGCCAGCCCCGAGAGCATCGAAAGGGGTTTCCAGCCGATGGGTGAACTCCGGAATATCTCCTGCCTGGAAGGGAATTTAAAAGTCATCTAGGGACTCTTTCTCCCATCCCTTGCCAAAGTATCTTTGAAAATCCCCAAATCCCCCCTGATAATTTGACGAGCCCGTTTGGAACCTCTTCCAGTGTTCCGAAGCGAATGTCTTTAAAGGAAACCCATTCTGTTCCTGGACAGATGTGCTTATAAGTTGAAAGACACAGCTGGCTCCCATCCTTCCTAGTTCTTTTCCCTTATGGGCAGCTGTTAAGATATCTGAAGATAGTAACCATGTCCCCTGAGTCTTCACTTCCACTTCCTTCAGTTGTTTCTCATCTGCTGTGGTTCTCTAAACTGTCCTCTGGATGAGCTTTAGTTTCCCCCATATCACCTTAAAGGAGAGTTTCTTAAAAGTGAGCATGGAGGCAAAACCTAGTTAGTTTCTCTACGAAACAGCCCCAAGGATTGACCTGCTTAAATCAAAAGTACTCTAGATTCCCTTTCTCATTTCTGTACTGTATTTTGACCTTAAAAAAAAAAAAAGAAAACATTTAGTAGTGTTTGTTCAAACAAACTAAAAGACATCTTATTTTGTGGAAATTTGGGGGTTTCCTTCCTTTTAAAAAATATCTATAAACACTTTATCGAATGTGCTAATTAATGTACATCAAAATGTTTTATTAAAGTGTAATGTGCCATGCAAATAGAAGAGCTCTTTTTTTTTTTTTTAATTTAAACTCTGAGAAGGATTGAGACCCAGTTTAGTGCCAAACTGCAATTTTAATATTTGGTTGCAGAAGGAAATGCTTTATTACATTGAACTCTTTGCTCTATTTCTAACTTCCAGCAGAAGGCCCAAAGTTACTATGAAAAAGAACACTTTTTGTTGCTTACTTACCAACCTCCTAAACTCTTGCCTAAGCAACTCTGCAGGTTAGTAAAGTTTTAAGCCCAGTAGAGATGAGATGGCCTTGTAGATAAAATGCCAAGCTCTTACATCTGGGATCCTGTTTAAGTATTAAGCAAAGTTTTACTGTTTTTACATCTTAGACAAGCACATACCAGCAGTCAAAATTGGTTATTTTTGTTCTTATGCCTTCACTTTTTAGATTGGTCAGTAGTTTTGAACTTTGTAGCACATATGTCAAGTTTTGATTTTTGTGCAAATGCTGTTCCCTTTTATGTAAGTTGGGTAAACATTTGCATAGCACTATTCTCAGTGAAACTACAGATCCAGAGGAAAGGCCCTGATTCCTTCCTTGCAAAGGACTTGGAGTGAAAGGTAGAGGATACTTAACTGTGAGAAAGAATTGATGTGAATATCTCACTGAAAATTAAAAGACTTAGGCCTGGATGCAGGGGTTCGTGCCTGTAATTCCAGCACTTTGGAAAGGTGAGGCAGGTGACTGAGGCCAGGAGTTCTGGACCAGCCTGGGCAACATAGCAAGACCCTGTCTCTACAAAAAATAAAAATGAAAATATAGCTGGGCATGATGGTGCATGCCTGTAGTCTCAGCTACTCAGGAGGCTGAGGCAGGAGGACTGCTTGAGTCAAGGAGTTGAGGCTTCAGTGAGCTATGATCACACCATAGCAAGTGACCGAATGAGACCTCCATCTTTTAAAAAAGAAAATTTAAACTTGGTATGTTCTAATCTTCACTGTACACTTATGTACCTACTATGGGTCAAGCACTATGCTATGTACTGTGCTTAGCTGAGTTTACAAAGATTTCCAATCTGGTGGAGCTGGTAAATGGATTATCTCAGAATAAAAGGTGAGAACTACACATAGGTGAGATATGGGAGTAAAGGTTGCGAGTAAAGGTTACCCAAAGGTGAGTGCACTTAGACTAGCCTAGGAGTTAAAGGAAGGCTTTGGTAAGAGATGATATCTGACCCAAATCTTAAATGATAGGTAGGAGTAAGCTAGGCAAACATGAGCAGAAAGTGTCCTTCAAACAGAGAAAACAGCTTGAGCAAAGGCATCAATGTGAGAAAAGGAATAGCTTGCGTAGAGAACCACAAACAGTTTGGAACTGCAGGAATATAACAATAGAGATATAAGCGGTAAGTTATAAGGCTGGAAATACAGGCAGAGGCCATGTCATGGTGGACCTTGTATGCATAAGTATCCTGAAATCAGTTCAGTAGGTACTGTGTGTTTTTTTTTTTTAATTTTTATTTAATTACAGAAAAGTGTCTATCAGACATGGTTGAAGTAACATTTTTAAAATGTGGTCGTAGGGATGAAGAGAAAGAAATGAATCTGAGAAAATGTATAAGGTTTTAATGATTGATTGTATGTGCAGGTGAGAGGGTGAGGAGTCCCGTGTGATGCTCAGGTTTTTGCCTTGGATGATTAATGATATGTAGGTAATTTTAACTGAGACAGGAAACAATTAATGATGAGTTCAATTCTGGACTTGAAGATTTTGCAATTTCTTGAGTTAGATCAACGAGCAAATATAGTGGAAGTAAGCTGAGAAAAAGATGTGGTCAGAAAGTGGAATATCGGAGTTAAGTTGTCTGATATGGGATTGTTCTAGGTGACAGCGAGGTCTCTGTTTATGGGTAGCTAAAATACAGCAGAGGTGAAGGTCAGTAAAGCTGAGTATGACAAGGAATTGTGAGGCTAGTGTATTGAATGAGTCATCTGTGTGGAGAGTGAAGTGATTGAGGATGATGGGATGTGGGGAAGAGAGAAAGATGTGACCCAGGTGCAGTAAAGATAGGGGATTAATCAGGAGGGTGGTAGATGACAGATGAGGAGGTGGGGTAGAGAGTGATATAGCCAGATGGTGCAAACCTCGAAGGAGGAGGGGTTTTTAAACACAGAGTGAGAAGGTAATAGTTTTTTTTTTTTACTTTTCCTTCCTGGAAGCAGAGTTCTGATCTCTTTATCTTTATTTAGGACTCATATTAATCATTCTGTTTGCTCCGAAGAATCTGTTCTTAGTCTTGGAAAGTGGGAGGACACATACCTCATATTGAATCCTTTCTGCTAATACTTAATGACAAAGGGCAGTGGAAGTTTTTTCCTCTGATGATCATTAGTGGATGGGTAGGGATCAATCAGATAAAGCAGTGAGGAGATATACCCATGGTTTTCTAGACAGAATATAGTGGAAAGAGCCTAGGCTTTGGAGTTAGAAACACCAAAATTCAGATCTAGACTCTGTCATTTACGAACTTTATGACTGTAAACAAATTATTTAGCCTCTGTGAGCTCAGTGTCCTTATCTGTGAAAAAATTGTACTTCATAGGATATCACAAATATTACATGAAAAAATATATACATACATACCATACACATAAAATCACAAGAAAAGCAATTAGTGATTCATAGATACAAAGTAAATGTTAGTTCCTTTCTTCCTTCCTTTAAGGGGCTTATGCTCTGCTAGCTGAAATAAACCTTTTACATGCTTACCTAAATTATAAAATAGAACATAGTGAGTACTCTAAGGGAGGTAGTAGCAAAGTGATAAAGCAATTCAGAGGAGGGAGCTGTCATTTCTAAACATTTGGAAACAAGGTTGGGCTTCCTTTTCAAAATGAATTTTACTTGGGCCATGAACCAATTTCAATAGAGTAAATAATTTAGGTAGAGATATAAAATAGGGAAAGCATAGGGTATAGTATCGTTGTTAAAAATTAACAGCTACCACAGGTTTGAGTATTGTATTTGTATAAGTTAATAGTAGGAAATAATGGCTAGAGAGATAGGCTGGGGCCTTGGTATTAAAGATCCGAAACTGTGATGCAGTTTGGAGTTGATTCCGGATACATTAGGGAGCCACACATTGGATGTTCTCTTTCCCTACCTCAGTTTACTATCTGTAAAATATATAGGCATCAATTCAGGAACTTCAAATTTTTGTTTGCAATAAGCCAAATAAGAAATCCCACACTTGAAAATAAGTTCCTGTGTAGACCAATTTTAGGTTAAAAAAATCTAAGATTTGTTTTGTAGTTGTAGGTTAATCTTTGCAATAATCTTATTTGATTGATAGGCTAAGTGAGGTTAAGAAACATACAAGATCTCACTGGTAGAAGGTGACCAAAGAAGCTCTAATTTCAAATTCTGTCTTTTTCATTCCACCATACTGATTAAGATTTGAAAGGAAACCTGAGTTCTTCAGGGTCACTAAAAATTAACTGCAGAACCCCGGCAGATCACTTTTACTTTGTCGTTTATAAAATGAA